TTGCAAAATCAAGATATTGGAAAATAGTGGGTAAGGTAAATACTTATGGTGGGAATTTAATTTTCCCATGGAGTCATACAATTTCAAAGAGTCATTTATATGGAAAAAAAAATCTTGACTGTGGAATTATGAATACTGACATTACTTTCAGCAAGGGCTGTGTTTTTCCAGCGTGTGGCTTAAGTAATGAATTTCCTCATATAATCCCTGTAAGAGAAGTTAGATGGATAATGGAGCCACTTGATGCTTTCATGCTCATTACAACATATATTCATTAAAATGTAACACACGCAGGTAATTCCCCATTTCCCTAATAGTTCTTACCACCTTTCCTGATTTGAGCGTTGAAGAGGCCAGTTTTGTTACCGGCTGCCGCAGGCGTTCGGCAAAACAGTCTTTGTAGGAATGTCTTAGAGCTGCTTTTTTAGATGGAACCTAGCCTGTATCCGTTTACTAGTTCCATATGACGTGGCTAAACTAATTTTTCAGATGCTTTGAATGGAGTATGGAAGACTATTGCTTTACTAAAAAAGCAAACATGAAAATTTCAAGCATCACAGTTAGCTCCTATCAATTTCCCTTTAATTACCTCCTCAAGTACCTGTTAATGACTCATTAGTTACAAAAATAAATTATACTTACTCTGCCACCCTGTTTGTAGTTTCTTTAGTTTCTGATTTCGCTACCACCGGGAAAATGGGTGTGTGGCGGTAATACAGAAATGTGAATCAGATGGCTCTGTAATTTTGTATATTTAATAAAGCGTACAGCAGGACTGTCTATGGGGTTAAGCTGTGGTGGGGGAAAGTGCTCTATGAGAAAACTCATGTCCTGTTACACCATGTTGGCTGCCTATATTTCATTTCACGACACAGTGCTCAGCAAATACGTCTGATTGGTTTTCAGTCCGGTTTTCTGTGGTTTTAGGTTCATGATGGTTCCTTTTCATAAATGGCCTTTGAAACTTGCTTGACACTGCAGTTATCTCTCATAGATAAAATAGGTCACAGTGAGTTTTAAACTGTTTTTTTTGAAATAAAAATGTTTTTAAAGTAAAATTGCACGTGGTATCCCAATCTATAAGGATAAAAGCAGAATGACTCTTTTTGGGGGGAGGGATAAGAATCTCAGAACCTCGGCCACGTAGCTCACAAAGGGACGTCACCCTGACCTGTAGGACTCCTCAGAACTCAGTGTGAAAACACCGAAATAGAAGATGAAATCATTTTTGTACTTATGTACTGTATATTTCCACTCACTTTTTAGACTTGTTCAGCCACGTATGTAGCCAGAAACATTGTGCACCTTCACGGGCACTGAACTTTAGATCAGGAGTTGGCAAACCTCTTCCACAGAGGGTTAGATAGTGCATACTTTCAGCTCTGTGGCCATATGGCCTCTGTCACCACTACTCAGCTCTGCTGCCATGGCTCGAAAGCAGCCAGTGACATTATGGAAATCGCATGAGCGTGGCTGTGTTCCAGTAAAGCTCTGTGCGTGCCAAAACTTGAATTGCATATGATTTTCACATATGATGAAATATTGCTTTGATTTTTTTTCTGATTTTAGTCAAAACAATACTCTAGGTTTTCCTTTTTTGAGTTTTAGTTATTATAAAGGTAGTAATATGAAAGAAAATTTCAGAAGGGTGAGAAACTTTTAATTCCGTAATCCATATTATTTTCTTCATAAGTCAGCGTGTCTTGTAATAATTGTAATAATTGTAATAATTGTAATTATAGTTGACCCACAGTTCTGTACTTTTGCTTTTCCTTACTTTTTTTTTTTTTTTTTTTTTGAGGCGGAGTTTCGCTCTTGTTACCCAGGCTGGAGTGCAATGGCGCGATCTCGGCTCACCGCAACCTCCGCCTCCTGGGTTCAGGCAATTCTCCTGCCTCAGCCTCCTGAGTAGCTGGGATTACAGGCGCACGCCACCATGCCCAGCTAATTTTTTGTATTTTTAGTAGAGACGGGGTTTCACCATGTTGACCAGGATGGTCTCGATCTCTTGACCTCATGATCCACCCGCCTCAGCCTCCCAAAGTGCTGGAATTACAGGTGTGAGCCACCGTGCCCAGCCGCTTTTCCTTACTTTTTAAATACATAAATCGTATTTTATGTAGTGTACGTGTAAAATTCTGAGAAGAAATTACATTTACTTCTTTTTTTATGTTTATTTCTTTCATTGCATCTGTACCCAGTGTTCTTCTACCCAATCTCAATTTCTGATCTAAAAGCAATCTAATTATTGTTTAAAAAAAACCCAAAATCGTTATTCAGTTTGGTGAGTTGGTATTTGTTGCTATTCTGGAATATAAATCTGAAAAATGGACACCCCATTGCAAGTAGATACAAGGAGGGCAGTCCTGTTTTTCCTTCGACCCTACCACTGTCTTCGAGAGTTCCCGTGGCTCAGCTGAATGTTTTGGTACTGAGAAATGCCTTCAGGAAAGTAGCAATTGATTTCCTAGAAAAACAAACCTGAGAACCAATTTCTCTCTGTAGGTTGCCTGACATTTGCAGCTGAGTGAAACCATGGTGAACACCGATTTATTTTACTATAAAATTATCAGTTTTGCTCACTTAAACAAACCTTTTATATTAACAATATTTCAAAAATAAAAACAGGAGATCATTTTGCTTTACTGAACGCAGTCACCTCTTTTTCTCTTACTTTTGACAATTTGGTTGTGAAAAAATAGCCCTGAGTTCAGAGAATGTTTACCTCAAGGATATCAAAAAAGTCACGTTAATGGCAAAATAAACCAGTGATTGTGTTAAAACTCAAGGTGAGTCACTTAATTGCAGTTTTAAAAACGTTCTTTCCTAATTTACCTCTGGGAGAAATTGTAGATAGGACTGTAAGATTATTAATGAAAATGCCTGTAGATTGTTTTAAATGATTCAGCTTCATCTCACCAAGGAGTTAGCATGTTCATTCATTTTACAAAAGTATATGGAGCACACCACCTACTGCGTCTTGAGTATCTTGTTAGACATACAAAGTTGGCTAAGACTTGGACTCTGACCCCAAGGCTAAAATGTTATTTCACATGTGCACAGTGCTTTCCAAATTACAAATAACATCAATAGGTTCTCATATGAATCTCATGAAGCAGATGTTAGTTCCATTTTATTCATGATGAAACAAAAACATAGACAACGTAATAGTCTACCCAAGGCTGCCTGTGGCACAGTCCCTTAGATTTCCAATCAGGTGACCTTTCCAAACCATAGAGATGGCTCTATAATAGCTTCAAAAAAAAGAGATAAGAAATATCCACCAGAGGTAAATACAAAATAGACAGTAATACGTACAATCACGGAAGTTTAGCGAAAGTGATACAGGAGCCCAGAAGAGGGAGAGATGGCTTCTGGGTAGGGATGGATGAAGGGAATAAGGGCTAGCCATAGGGATGGATGGACTGTGCACTTTCAGGGCAGGGGAAGATCATTCCATCCAGAGCTGGAAAAGCTTCCGAAAAGCTTAGGCCAGGTGGGATATGGCATGGGAAGAATGGAAATAGGAACAGTCAGTGGCTCAATTTGTCTTGAAGATAGAATATACCATATGGAATTATTAGAGATGAGGCCAAAAGATGGGAAAGAAACACATCTTCAGGTCTTTGATGTAGGGCCATGAAGCTTGAATTTTTTTGCTAGGAAGCGGAGAGCCATTTCAGGTTTCTAAGCAGAACTGTGTTAATCTGGCAGCAGTTTTGAACAAGGGAGTTGCAAACTCACATACCCGTAAAGGCCAAGAAGAGAATAGAGAAGTGATGCCGGGAAGGATGCAGCAAAAAGAGAAGTTTTCTCTAGGGGACCATCACCACTGGATGCTCTGGGAAGGCAGTCTCTCATTCTGCTGCAGATTACTGTTCTCCTCTGCATATTTGCTTTGTTGATATAAATTACATCCTTATACAATGTATGCCCATTGACATAGATTTATAACTATTATATGGTTATTTTTTAAATCTTATAGAAAAAAGAAGTTAATAGTCAAATATACTTTAATACTGCCTTTTATATTTACTTACATAGTTACCTTTAACAGTGTTCTTTATTTCTTCATGCATATTAAATCATTGTCTAGTATTTGTTCATTTCAACCTGAAGGATGTTTTGCAGGGCGGGTCTACTAGTGACAGACCCTCTTGAGTTTTTGTTTATCTTGGAATGCCTTAATTTCTTCTTATTTTTGAAGGATAGTTTGCTGAGTATAGAATTCTTATTGGACAGTTTGTTTTCTTTCAGCACTTGGCATGTTATCCTATTGCCTTCTGGCCTCCATGGTTTCTGATGAGAAATTAGCTGTTACTTTTACCGTGTATACCTTGTAACAAGGCTATTTCTTCTTGCTGCTTCCAGAATTCTCTTTTTGTATTTTGACAGTTACATTATAATGTATCTTGTTGTGGATTTGTGTGAATTTATCATGCTTGGAGTTCAGTGAGTTTGTTGAATGTGTAGATTCATGCTTGGCCATTATTGCTTCAGATATTCTTTCTGCCCCTTTTTCTCTGTCTTCTCTGTGTGGAATTCCTTTATGGACATATGGCGTGCTTGACGGTGTCCCACTGGTCTCTTTGGTTTTGTTCATTTTTCTTTGTTTTTAAATTTTTGTTCTTCAGATTGGGTCATCTCCATTGACCTATCTTCAAGTTTGCTGATTCTTTCTTCTGTCTCTTCAAATCTGCTATTGAACACCGAAATTCAGTGATTGTACTTCCAGTTTTGTTGTTGTTGTTGTTGTTTTGTTTTTGAGACAGAGTCTTACTCTGTCACCCAGGCTGGAGTGCAGTGGCACGATCTCAGGTCACTGCAACCTCCGACTCCCCAGTTGAAGCAATTCTCCTGCCTCAGCCTCCCAAATAGCTGGGATTACAGGCGCATGCCACCACGCCCAGCTAATTTTTGTATTTTTAGTAAAGATGGGCTTCCCTGCGTTGGCCAGGATGGTCTCAATCATGGTCTCAATCTCTTGGCCTCGTGATCTGCCCACCTCAGCTTCCCAAAGTGCTGGGATTACAGGTGTGAGCCACCGAGCCTGGCCTAACTCCAGAACTTCTTTATGGTTTCCTTTTATAATTTCTACCTGTTTATTGATAGTCTCTATTTTGTGAGACATCATTCTCATGATTTCCTTTAGTTGCTTGTATTTTTTTTCCTAAAGCATTTCAACATATTTAAAATAGTCAATTTAAAATATTTGCCTAGTAAGTTCAGTAACTTCCTCAGAGACAGTTTCTGTTCATTTCTTTTTCTTTTTTTTTTTTTTTTCCTGTGTATGGGTTGTACTTTCTTGCATGCCTTGTAATTTTTTTTTGAAACTAGGCTTTGAATATTGTAATGTGACAACTCGGGGAGTCAGATTCTCCCCGATTCTCAGGACTTGCTGCACCTGCTTATTGTAGTTGCTGTTTCTTTGTTTAGCAACTTTTAGAAACTAATTTTGTAAGTTCTGTATTCTTTGTCACATGTGTCCATGGAAGCATATGTTTGGTTAGCTTAGTGATTTGACAAGATTTCCTTAAACATCTGGAACAAAAAAAAAAAAAAAGGAAATCAGAGAGCCAGTGTTCTCTCTGTATTAGATTATGCCTTCAACATTCAGCCATACAATTCCCAACTCTGCCTTAGCCTTCACTTCCTGCTTGGGCAGGGCCTGAAAGCCAGGCAGCTGTGAGAGCTTAGGGTCATCACAGGTCTATTCTGAGCATGTGCCCTGTCTTAGCATGTGTATGGGCTTCTAGAATCCCAGGAATACATGGGAATTTTTCAAAGTCCTTATTTGGAAAAATATGTAACTCCCCAACCTTTCCTTTTAGTTTTTTTCTTTTTCTTTCTTTTTTTTTTTTTTTTTTTTGCTATTTGTCGTTTGCCCCAATTTGTATTTCTTTGCCCCAGGTGTCAGCAACTAATTCACATGTTTTTAATGAATGACCAATGTTTCTTGGGTAGTTACCTTACCATCCAGGGAAAGTTATTAATTAGCAAAATGATTCAGAACTTTCCTTCATGGAGTCAGACAGGTTAAGAGAAATGCAATTATTTGAAAGCAAGGTCTGCTTTCTTTCCAGCACTAGGAATCGTCGCCAAGAGAGTGGGTTGCTGTCTTAGGATCACAATTGAACTGGATAGGAGGAGCATGGGGCCGGGTAGGTTGAAATGCCATAAACTCCCCTACTGAAATTTAGCTGCCTTTTTCTTATGTGTTCATCTGGCCGCTATAAACCTTTGACCAGTTCCAGAGTTCAGATAAAGTTGATTTTGACAGGTTTTGTTTCATTTATTAGCTGTTTCTGTGGAGGAGCAGGCCCTTGGAATTCCCTGCTCCCTGGTTTTTGCTGATGTCACTCTGTACACATGTGCCTTAAAAATACTGTGTATATAAAAGAAAATCTATGTGTGAGCTAAGTGCAGAAGGCTACCTTATTATCTTTGCTGTAAAGTGAATTGGAGAGGAGAGAGATTGAAGAAGGAAGCAGTAGTAAATGGAGGGGAATTGACTGACCTAGCTTCAGGCACCAAAACATAATATAGTCTTCCTAGAAAGTTACGCAGTTCAGGTATCTGTTCTATTAGGAGACAGCGTGTGGTTGTCTGTAACAGAAAATTGATTCATACTGGCCCACACAAATAGGAATTTATTAGACTCACATAATAGGAAACCTGGGGATGAACAGGTAAGAGCCAGAGTAGTGGCCTAATGATGCTGTCAAGGACTCACGTCCTACTGATTGTTCTCTTTACTGTCCTTAGCATTTTGGCTTCCATATTCTCTGTGGTTGCCTCTTGATCTCAAGATGGCTGCTGTAACTCCAGATAGCACCTCTGCATTCCAGGCATGTAATATAGAAAAGAGTTTTCTTGGCAACTTTTTAAAGAGTTGGAACAAAAGCCCTCGTCAGAAGACTTCTTGTATTTCATCAGCCGTAAATAGGTCACATGTTCACTCATATCCATCCCTGGCCAAAAGAAGAGATTGCCATGACAAGTTTATGATTCTTCTGTCAGGGCTGGGGAAGGGCCTTCAACAGATTAAAGGAGCAGGGTTGTGTAAGCCAGGGAGAAAGAGTAACTGTTAGGTAGGCAGTGGACAATGGCTAGATAGAAGCAAAGAGGGGTGGCTGATGAGGGTGAGGTGGCTGCTTGGAAGGGTGGCGGGTATCTGCTCTGTCCTAACCATGTCAAAATTGGAGCAAGCTGTCGTCTTTATTAGAGAAGTGAGGGGTTAGAAGTGAAGATCAGAAATACAAAACGTACAGTCACATAATAAGGTTAAAACCAGAAGTGTCAGCTCCGAGCCAAAGTAAGCTAAAGCCTGTGGTGCGTCGGTTGCTGGAACGGGAGCTGAAGTCGCTGTCGGGATCCAGGGGGCGTGAATAGAATTCTGCTGAGTGCCTGGTTTCTGGCTCTGGCTCCTGCCTCGTGGGAGTTTAGGTTACATTTGGAGCTGGCAGGGGTGGCCATCTCCAGGCTCTTCGATGACAAGTTAACTCCGGGCATGAAAGCAGTCTTGCAGGGGCTAGCAGATTCCAAGCATCGAACCAGAGAGGGAAGAAGGGCAACTTAGGGCCCGGCTGGGAAATTGGCAAGAGTCCCAGGCCCAGGAGGAGCCAGATTTCCTGGGCAGTTACCAAAATCAGAGCTTGGGAACAAGGCTTAAGAGGTGAAACCCTGTTGCTTATGGTTGGAGGCAGGCTGGAATTAGGGAATTAGGAGCTCTTTGACTAGAATTGAGACTTCAGGGTGGAGCCAGCAGCCAGTGCCACTTGGTGCAAGACCCCAGAGTGGGGCAGGCCGAGGTCAAAGGCCTCCTGCCTCAGGACGGGCTCAATCCTGAGGACTGGAAATCAGCCTCAACCTACCACGCATGGATCAGGGGGTTCCTGTTGGGGAGGGAGAAGAAAGGACGTTGCTTCAGAGTAGATATGTACAAGAACGATTTCGGAGGTAGCATTTAACAGGGTTTGGAAAGAAGGCAATGTTGGAGGTGGGGCCTAGCTGGCTGGCTTGCTTTATCTAAATACAGAATATACAAATAGTAATAACTTTTGGCGCTAAAATGCCTCGGGTCTGAGCCTGTGAGTACATAAGGCATCTAGGCAGAGATGTAATTGATGATATGAGATTGGGACGCGGGAGATCTCTACCACGATCTCTACAGCCAGATAGAAAGACTGGGGTCATCCACATCAGGATCAGGATAGAGCGAGGTCGCACAGGGAGACGGCGTCAGGAGTTCACTCACTGTTTCTGCGTATGTGCCGTGAAGGAGAAGCCACTCAAGGGGTTGTATGTATTTCCATTTTATTTTATCTCCCCACGAATTTTTTTTCCAGATTCCTGAGATTTCTGTTTGATTCTTCTTTCCTGATGTTTTTCAGATATAACCAGTTTCTCCCAAATAGCTGCATTTTCTCATTTTCTCTCTTTCTTTGCCTCTCTTTCTCCCTCTCCCTTTCCCCTTCCTTCTTTCCTTCTCTCTCTCTTTCCTTCTTTCCTTCCTTCCTTTCTTCCTTCCTTCCTTCCCTCCCTCCATCCCTCCCTCCCTCCTCCCTTCCTTCCCTCCCTCCCTCCTCCCTTCCTTCCCTCCCTCCCTTCCCTCCCTCACTCCTTCCTTCCTTCCTTCCTTCCTTCCTTCCTTCCTTCCTTCCTTCCTTTCTTCCTGTCTTCTGGGGTTTTGCTCTTGTTGCCCAGGCTGGAGTGCAGTGGCGTGATCTTGGCTCACTGCAACCTCTGCTTCCAGAGTTCAAGCAATTCTCCTGCCTCAGCCTCCCGAGTAGCTGGGACTACAGGTGCACACTACCACGCCTGAATAATTTTTTATATTTTTAGTAGAGACGGGGTTCACCATATTGGCCAGGCTGGTCTCTGGTGATCCACCTGCCTTGGCTTCCCAAAGTGCTGGGATTACAGGCGTGAGCCACTGTGCCTGGCATTTTCTTATGCCAAAAAATATTTTAGATTCTCCAAGGAGAAAAAAACATTTTTTTAGAGAGTCTCATTTTTTCCATCCTTAAGGATTTATGCTTATTATTCTTTATGACTTTCATTTATATAATCTCAGAAGTAACAATTACTTAGGAGATTTCTTTTTCAAAAAAGTCAAAAGGGCTGGGTGTGGTGGCTCACACCTGTAATCCCAGCACTTTGGGAGGCCAAGGCAGGTGGATCACTTGAGGTCAGGAGTTCAAGACCAGCGTGGCCAACCTGTCGGAACCCTGTCTCTACTAAAAATACAAAAATTATCTGGGCATGGTGGTGCATGCCTGCAATCCCAGGTACTCGGGAGGCTGAGGCAGGAGAATCCCTTGAATCTAGGAGGCGGAGCCTGCAGTGAGCCAAGATTGTACCATGGCACTCCAGACTGGGCAACAGAGTGAGACTTCGTCTCAAAGCCAACCAATCAAACACAGAAGTCAAAGGAAAAACATGCTGCCACCTTCTCCTCCATTCTTCCATCATGTGGCAGATGAGAGAAAGGATGGCGCGGCCTTATCATGCCCACATCAAGGCTACACTAGCTGGAACCATCTGACCACACCCTGTACTTGGAAGCAGCATCCCCTTCAGCCATGAAAGATTCTCTTTTTCTGTATTTAGAGGTGGTACTTTTAAGATTTATGATAATAAGGAAGAGGAAATTAGTTGAAACTTATGTAATAAAATGAATGGTTTTGGAAGTCGGTGTCAGGTGCGTAATAGAGAATAGAAAGCCTAGGTCCCTGATGGTCAAAATGGTTAAGTTGTTATTCAAACCTGTGATTTTAGGGTGTGGATGCCAACTGTTGTTTCAAACATACATGGTAAATGTAAAGAACTTTCCAGAACTGAGGTCGAAGCCCCAGGTAAGGTAAGCAAGTCATTTACTGATGAATCCGGGACACTCTGGAGCGTGAAAGGCAGTATTCGGAATAATCGCGCATTGGGACTTTTCTGGGCAGAGTGGGAGTTTGGTCACCCTAGCTCTAGACCTCAGCCGTGGTTTCCAGATCTCACAATTCAAGGTGAAGCGAAATCGAAGT